AGGAGATCAGTCCTGGGTGTTCATTGGAAGGACTGATGCTGAAGCTGAAACTCCAATACTTTGGCCACCTCATGCGAAGAGTTGACTCATTGGAAAAGACCCTGATGCTTGGAGTGATTGGGGGCAGGAGGAGAAGGGGACAACAGAGGATGAGATGGAAAGATGGCATCACCGACTCAATGGGCATGAGTTTGAGTAATCTCCGGGAGTTTGTGATGGACAGGGAGGCCTGGCGTGCTGCGATTCATGGGGTTGCAAAGAGTCGGACATGACTGAGTGACTGAACTGAACTGATATACTGAAGGCAGGGATAATTTTAGTGATATCTTATCACCCAATGAGGAATTAAGAATTAAAATAATTGAATTAAGAGAGATGGAGGATTAAAGTGCAGGTACAGGTTGGGTTTTGAGACTGAGGTTGCTTATTTGCTTACAAAGTTCACAGGCCTGAATCCAGGTTCATTTGTTATCACTGAGTGACTTCTTTCTAGCTTTAGTTTTTAGAACATATAAGTGTCTTAAATTGAACAGCTGTGAAGCTTATTAAAGTTTTAAGGGTGTGATTTTGAAAGTGTTAGTCACTCAGTCGTGTACGACTCTTCGCAGCCCCATGGACTGTAGCCTGCCAAATCCTCTGTCCATGGAATTATCCAGGAAGAATACTGCGGTGGGCAGCCATTCTCTTCTCCAGGGGATCCTCCTGACCCAAGGTTTAAACCCAAGTCTCTGGCATTGCAGGCAGATTCTTTACTTTTATGAGTCATCAAAGAAGTCCTGGTTTTGAAAAGGAGGCTCCATTTCTGGCAAATAAATACCTACGATTATTCACCTTCTCAAGAGATGCTCACACACCGGAATTTCCACCAAAAGGAAGAGGGTGGTTAGGGTAGGGTAGTCCCTAATAGGTGTGGTCTCTCTTCAATGCACCTCCCAGACACAATCATGAAGGATGATACATACGGAGAGATTCCTAGGACAAATTAAATCTCTGCAGCTAGGAAACTGTCTCCACAGCAGGTAAGAGATAATCTGTTATTCCTAATAAACATGACATTAGGAGGTCCATTGGAGAAGGAAATGGCAGCCCACTCCAGGACTCTTGCCTGGAAAATCCCATGGACAGAGGAGCCTGGTAGGCTACAGTCCATGGGGTCACAAAGAGTCGGACACGACTGAGCAACTTCACACTTCACAGTGCTTCCAGGACACAAGGAACCAGAGCAGACTCCTCACTTCCCAGGGGAGTGCGGACGTCCCTGGAGCTTCAGCATATACTCAGGGGGACCCTGCAAAGGAAGTGGAGGGTGAGGGGTTCGGGTGGCTGGTGAGGGCTCTGTGATGAGTGTCTGGAAGGAGCAGAGAGAGGAGAACAAGTCCTATTGTGGACATACGGAGACATGGGACGCGTGCACGCTTCACACCCACCCTGTGCTGAGGGGCTGTGCAGGACAGGGCGTGGCATAGAGGAGCCAGCCCTGGGTCCTGCCAAGGGGTCCAGGAGACAAGGGCAGCCTGCAGAGACACAGAGCATGACGTCATAGGCAATGGTCCAATCAGGGAAGCGGGAGAGTCAGCACTTACCCCACTCACCCCAGGAGCCCCGCCCCCAGCCAGCAGCAGCCTTGGGTTCCTGATGCTGCCATGGGCGCCAGGCTACTCTGCGGTGTGACTCTCTGCCTCCTGGGAGCAGGTGAGTCTGGACACAGTGTGGGAGCTTCTGAGATGTCTTTTGTCTCCCTGAGATAGAAGCCCGGAGATGAGGGCTTCAGCAGGAGGCTTCCCCTGTGCTCTGCCCTCAGCTTCCATCTGATTGTTTCCCAACAGGCCTGGTGGATTCTGGAGTCACCCAGACCCCCAAGTACCTGATCAAATCAAGAAAGCAGCAAGTGACGCTGAGATGTTCCCCTGACTCTGGACACCGCTCCGTGAACTGGTACCAGCAGGCCCTGGGCCAGGGCCCCCGGTTCCTCATTCAGTATTACCGCGGACAAGTTAATGGAGAAGGAAACATGCCAGATCGATTCTCAGGAAAACAGTTCAGTGATTTTCACTCAGAGCTGAACCTGAGCTCCTTGGAGCTGACAGACTCAGCTGTGTATCTCTGTGCCAGCAGCCAAGACACAGCCCTGCATGACCAGGTGCCTCTGGTACAAAAACACTCCTCCCCCAGCTCAGGAAGTGATGGTGAGGTGTTGGCTGCCAGCCAGCCAGTCCCAGGCTTTGGTAGAGTGGACAGATTTTCCCAGACATTCTTTCTTTGCTGTGTTTTAATGCTCACAAAGATCATGCAAGATAAGTATTATTTTAATTGTTTATACACCTGGGGGGAACTGACTTGCCTGGGTCTCATACTTCATTACTGTCAGACCAGAAATCAGACTCAAGTCTGTCCTCAACACCTATGGTCCTTGCCCCCCTTAGAACTGCTCCCCCATAGAACAAACATATGTATACATGCTTTAAAGGAGTAGGTTCACATAGTTGTTAAGGCTGGTAAGTCCCAAAACTGGATACTGGGCTGGTGGTACTAGAGACCCAGGAAGAGCTGAGTTTTAGTTCAAAACCTGAAGAACTAATGATCCAGTTTGAATGCCATCACCTGGACAATTATCTCTTACTTGGGGAGGATCAGTCTCTCTGTTCTATTCATGTCCTCACTGGTTGGATGATGCCCACCAACACTATGAAAGGTCATCTGCTTACAATGTTACAATGTTAATCTAATCTCATATTAAAGTCTACCTGTTTACATGTTAATCTCTTCCAACAACGCCCTCATATAACACCTGGAATAATGTTTAATTAAGTACCTGTCAAGGTATAGTCAAGGTGACACATTATAATAGCATTATACCATGTTCCACTGTTGTATAAGTACTTAATAAGCATGAAGTCCCTGGCACATAACAGCACTCTGGACTTCTTGATTCCCTTTGCTAAACTCTGACAGCCTCTTCTACCATTTCCTAGGTGCAAAGGTAGAAATGGACATATGTTACCTTGAAATCCTATAGTTGAGGATATCAGAAGTCACAGGAAAAATTTATTTATGCCTGATGATTCATCACATGAAATTAACAAGAGTGTGTGATATATATGCCTTCTCGGATATTTTAAAATGTGAATTATATGTGTGTGCTCAGTTGTATCTGACTCTTTGCAACTCTAGGCACTGCAGCCTGCCAGGCTCCTCGTCAATGGGATTCCCCAGACAAAATACTGCAGTGGGTTTCCATTTCCCTCTCCAGGAGAGCTTCCTGACCCAGGGATCAAATCCACATCTTCTGCAATGGCAGGTGGATTCTTTACCACTGTGCCACCTGGGAAGCCCTATAATTAACCTCTAACCCATGTAGGCTTTAGGGTCCCTGAGACATCCACAACGCCGTAATCAAAACTTTGTGTATAACTTCACATTCAACCATCTGTACGTGGGATTTCAGGTCTACAGATTCAGCCAGTCAAATTGGGCAGTACCTTCAGTTCAGTATAGTCACTCAGTTGTGTCCGACTTCTGAGACCCCATGGATTGCCGCATGCCAGGCTTCCCTATCCATCACCAATTCCCAGAGCTTGCTCAAACTCAAGTCCATGGAGTCAGTGATGCCATCCAACCATCTCATCCTCTGTCATCTCCTTTTCCTCCTGCCTTCAATCTTACCCAGCATCACAGTCTTTTCCAATGAGTCAGTTCTTCACATCTGCTGGCCAAAGTATTGAAGTTTCAGCTTCAGCATCAGTCCTTCTAATGAACACCCAGGATTGATTTCCTTTAGGATGGACTGGTTTGATCTCCTTGCTGTCCAAGCAACTCTCAAGAGTCTTCTCCCACACCACAGTTCAAAAGCATCAATTCTCCGGCACTCAGCTTTCTTTATGGTCCAACTCTCACAGCCATACTTGAATAATGGAAAAACCATAGCTTTGACTAGACAGACCTTGGTTGGCAAAGTGATGTCTCTGCTTTTTAATATGCTGTCTAGGTTTGCCACTGCTTTTCTTCCAAGGAGCAAGAGTCTTTTAATTTCCCTTAGGAAGTATTTATTAAAACATGCACACATAAATGGACCCACTCAGTTCAAACCTGTGTTGTTCAAAGTTCAACTGTAAATACCATAAACATTACACACTGTATAATGGGGCTTCCCTGGTGGCTCACAGGTTAAAGCGTCTGCCCTGCAATGTGGGAGACCTGGGTTCGATCCCTGGGTCGGGAAGATCCCCTGGAGAAGGAAATGGCAACCCACTCCAATATTCTTGCCTGGAGAACCCCATGGAGTGAGGAGCCTGGTAGGCTACAGTCCATGGGGTGGCAAAGAGTCAGACATGACTGAACAACTTTACTCACTCAATCACTCAATGGATAGATCTGTGGTTTTAATCAACATATATGCATGTGCCACACAACATCCACTCTACTACAATAAAGAACATTTCTATTGCCAGAAAGTTTCTTCAGTCCCCTTTCCCATGCCTCTCCTTCCCTGACTACCAACAATATGATATCTGTTGCTAGAGATTTGTTTTACTCAGGCATCTTTTTACTGAAAATATAAGCTCTATACCCATTAAAACAATTCCCTTTTAGGCAAGAGTTGAATATTGAAGAAAGTTAGGTGCTCCTGGAAAGTCTTATTGTTAAAGAAGTGCTTGAAACCGTGTGAGCACCACATCCATGTCTGGAGATGGACGATGGTTGCATGATCTGGCTGGAAAGCCACTTTCTCTTTTGGCGTGGCCTGGGCATGAGTCTCCTGTGTTGTGTGCCCTGCTGTCTCCTGGAAGAAAGAAGTTCTGAGCATAGATGTGGAACCACTCGTGGGCTAGCCAGCCCCCAGTTCAAGTCTTGCTGCTGTGGTTAGAAATTCAGACTCCTTTGCTGCTTCTGACTTTAGTTTCTATGCCTTTCTCTCCTAGGTGCCAGGAATGCAGCATTACCCAGACCCCAGACATGTGGTTGGGATCAAGGAAAACCAGAACATCAGGAGATCATCACAGGTCCAAACACATGTAACCAGGACCAGCTGCATTATTTGCAAGACCCACGTTTCAACTGTTGAGTGTTTGAAGATCACAACAGCAGAGCATTGTATCAAGTATGGGATCTTTCAAAGTGGGGGGTTATGTGTAACAGGATAGTTTGGGGCTCTGTGATATCTGTTAATTACTCCCTGGTGGCTCAGATAGTAAAGAGTCTGCCTGCAATGCAGGTGGCCCAGGTTCAATCCCTGGGTCAGGAAGATCCCTTGGAGAAGGAAATGGCAATCCCCGCCAGTATTCTTGTTTGGAAAATCCCAGGGACAGAGGAGTCTGGTGGGCTAGATCTAGTCCATGGGGTTGCAGAGTCAGACACGACTGAGCGACTAACACTTTCACTTTCGTCTATGCTACTTAAGGAGTTACCTCCATGGAATGGCTGTCTCAAATAAAAATGGAGCAGTTTCCATTTGCCCGAGTCTGTCACCTCTTCCCAGTCCCGCATCTGTATTCCTTTGCACTCGCAGGTCATCCACGGTGCTGAGCAACCATCTACTCTCCTCAAAGAAAGGTGGGTTACAGGTGCGCTGCTGCCCCCATTCAGACAGGGCAGCATGTGCTCTGGTGAACATGTAGGAGCTGTAGCCGCATTCAGCAGGTGCCCAGTCTATCAGCGAATGGTAAGAAATAGACTCAAAGGATTCCTCAAATGTTGCTGAGCCTGCCCCAGGGTTGGGGAACCAGATGCCAGAAAAAGCAAGTGGAAGGAAAAAATATATATACAATTGCGGTCAACTAAGCAAAGGAAAATGGACACTTGAAGGCATAGGTGGGATGCAAGAGTCGTAAAGGGCAGCAGAAGCCTATAAGGATTTTTCCCCAAGAATAAAAACTAAGAAATCACATTACATGTGTAAAGTAGAGAGCTAGTGGGAAGCTGCTGTCCTGCACAGGGAGCTCAGCTCTGTGCTTTCTGAGGGCCTAGAGGGGTCAAGTGCAGGGGTGGAGGGAGGGGAGTTCAAGAGAGAGGGGATATACGCATACTAATGGCTGATTCACCTGGCGTATAGCAGAAACCAACACACTTCATAAAGCAATCATACTCCAATTAAAAATAACTTTAAAAAGGCTACATGAATATGTGGATAAATAAGACGAATATAAGTTTAATGAAGAATTATTTCTGGAACAAAGCATACATAAAGTTGCAAACAGTTTACAGGTTACAACAACTTGTGAGGCTTATGCCTATTGAGCTAGATGGGTCTCCCTGTGTGAACAGTTCTCTCAGGTTCACTTCTGATTTGAGCCTCTGGGGGAAGGGGCGTGGCCCCCTGAGTGACAGGTCGGCTCCGGGGCCTGGCAGGGACAGTGACATCTCAGAAGGACTCCCTGGAGAGCCCTTCTCCCCTCTCATCCACACTCAGACCAGAGGGCCCTCCGCTGGCCCCGCCCCCGCCATGAGCCCCTGCCTCCTGGGCTGTGTGGTCTTCTGTCTCCTGCAGGCAGGTGAGTCCTGGGGGCAGGGTCCCCATGGGGGTGCCAGCACAAAGCATGTCCGCTGTGACTGCAGCATCGGTCCTCCTTCTCCCCAGGGACGGTCCACGCTGGTGTCACCCAGGACCCCAGATTCCAGGTCTTGAGGACAGGACAGAGCGCGACACTGAAATGTACTCAGGATCTGGGTCATAATAATATGTTCTGGTACAGACAAGACCCGGGACGCGGGCTGAGGCTGATCCATTACTCAACTGGCCCTTTCGCCAAGGAGCAAGGAGATGTGCCCGACGGGTACAGCGTCTCCAGACCAAACACAGAGAACTTCCCTCTCACGCTGGAGTCTGCCAACCGCTCCCAGACCTCTGTGTACTTCTGCGCCAGCAGTTACTCCACAGCGCTGCACGGCCACCTGCTCTCTGTGCAAAAAGACAGGGGGCCCCGTGCAGGCTCCCAGCACCAGGAGCCTCAGGGCTTTGCAGACCACGTGCCTGCAGTGTGACCCTGAGTGTGTGGTCTGTGCTGGCCCAGACCTCACTCCAGGCCTTGTGGACATGTGTCCACCATCCACTGCTGTCTTTTCTCTGTATCCTTCCTGTGAACCAGGAGTTTCCGCAGCTCTGACTTCTAGTCATCACCTTAGCCTGAGACCTCCAGGAGGAAAGGTTGTTGGTAAGTTAGATAAAAATAGGCCCTCCTGTCTCACCTCAGGCAGCTCATTGCTGTCTCTCTGGAAGGTTCTCCCTCAACCTGGCTCTCACGTGCTCTCATCTCTTACCCATCTTTCCTGGGTGGGTAAGTCATTCCTCTCCCCACCTCACTGGCATCAGCTTCCTGGCCCTCTCTACTCTAGCCACAATGTTCCTCCCTTATCTGGGTCATGAAAGTGAAAGTGAACTTCGCTCAGTTGTGTCCAGCTCTTTGCGACCCCATGGACTGTATAGTCCCTGGAATTCTTCAGGCCAGAACACTGGAGTGGGCAGCCTTTCCCTTCTCTAGGGGATCTTCCCAATCCAGGATTGAACCCAGATCTCCCACATTGCAGGCAGATTCTTTACCAGCTGAGCCGCAAGGGAAGCCCAAGAATACTGGAGTGGGTAGCCTATGCCTTCTCCAGCGAATCTTCCCGACCCAGGAATCAAACCATGGTCTCCTGCATTGCAGGCGGATTCTTTACCAACTGAGCTATGGTCACATCCCTTCCCAAATCACAAGGTAGTTTTTAAAGTGGCCTGCCCATGTGGTCTGCTTTGAGCAAACTGTCTGGAGTCATCAAAGAGAAACCAACTTCAGTTAATTATCAATCATCCAAAACTTCATGTGAGTCCATTGAAGGAGGACAGACTGTCTTTGTGTGTTCTCTCCCCGGTCCCCAGATTTCCTCAGCATCTCACCTAACCTAGGCCAGGTTGGCCTACCTTCCTCATCAAAATCTTCTCAAAGTCAAAATATATCATACATCACCCCCATTTTATCAAGATTTTATAAGTGCAGAAATAAATGAGTCCATATATACAAAATCTCTTTATAAAATGCATTACCTAGAATTTGGTAATGCTTAATTTCAATCGGAAATCTGGAAATATATGCATCTGATTAATCAGAAGTAGTTATGGAATACATGCTTCCAGGTGGATTCACTTGAGATCTTCAGAGTATTCATTTTATGGTCATGTATTTTCATCTTCGCTAACTACTGTCATTGTAGTGGTACAGTAGTTACTTCCTTCTTAGTAAAAATGTCAGATCATACAGTCTTTTACCTCCAGAGGATAAGAGTGGATTTGAGGATCAACCCTAATTTTGTCAGGCTGGGAAGGCAGTAGATGAAGGGTGTGTATTTGTGTGCCTTTGTGCATGTCTGTGTGTAGAGGGGTTGCAGGTGGAGTTGTGGGGAATATCTTTTTTTTTATTTTTAATTCTGTCTTTTAATGAAAGATTCAACTCATATGTGAACACAGCTAGTTAAAGCACAGCACAGCCAGCTTGTAAGTTTAAATTCCTGTAGACTTAACTAGAATCACAAGGAGGGCCACTGCTCAAAGGCTTTTTCCCTTTAAGACCACCTTTGATCTTTACAGCACACTCTGGCCAAGGCAGGGGAGGGGAAATGTCTAGAGCCCAACAGATTTCTCATTAGCCCAACTTTCTCACCAGCTTATTTCTGTTTTTCAGCCGTAGAAAGCTTAAAGGAGTTCCAGGACACATTCATCATCTCTTGAGGCCTAAGGCCCAGAACACTCTATAGCTGTTATCACAAAAGGAGCACTTAAGGAATGTACTTAGCAGATTAGGAGTAACAGTCCAGTAGTTTCTCTGCCATGCCTCTCTCAACATGCACTTCTGAGTAGTATTCTTCCACGCACAACAGGAGCAGGATGGGCAAGAATGCAACACAAGAGTGCTGAATAGGCTAGTCTGTTACATCCCACAGAAACTTCAAGGAATCACCCCCACCAGCCTACCCAAGATCAACTAAAGAGGCCACCTTCAACTCTAGATTATTTGAACAAATGGTAATTAATGCACCCTTCTCCAACAGACTTCTCTCTTTAAAGGAATGGATTTTGAAGAGAAAAAAAAAANACTAAAGAGGCCATCTTCAACTCTAGATTATTTGAACAAATGGTAATTAATGCACCCTTCTCCAACAGACTTCTCTCTTTAAAGGAATGGATTTTGAAGAGAAAAAAAAAACATGCAGCAGAGAGGTATGGAATAGAAAATAAATACAAATGTAAGCCATTTTGCTTACATTTATATTTATTTGCTTGCTTTATAGCCACAACAAACCAGTACAGAGAATGCCCTGTACAAAACCCAATAAAGGTTCAAAGATGGAGGTGTTCCCTTAGGCAGGGCTGAAGACTTCAGTCTCTGGTATTTGGAGTTTAGGCTGCAGTCCAGGTTTTTGGGTGGATCATTGGGTGTGTGGCACAGTGCATGCTTTTACCGGGATTTGAACAGGAGACTGGCCACTTGGCCCAGGTAGAAGCAGATGGTTTTGGTTTCGTGTGTCATGCAACGACTGAAGTTCCTCAGCACGATGCAGGGCCGGGTGGGGTTGTCCTTCTTGTCAAACTCCTGGATGTGGGCTGCGATGTCCCTCTCTGTATTGTACTTCTCCAGTGCCTCAGTAGCACACCCCGCCGAGTCCTGTTGCATCTCCTCCGACACACCGGCATTCTTGATCATGGTCTTCCAGTCACACATGGGTACCAAGGAGCAGGGGCTGGCTCTGGTCTCCTGGGGAAGGCGCGGGCCGGGCTCACACCTGCATAGACAGGCGGTCACTACCAAAGCCATGTAGAATCTGAATTTCCATCCTTGATTTAGACAGAAGGCACAGATCTGTGACACTGTGGACCATTGGCCACTAGGAGGCACTGTGGGTCCATGAAGCAGGATGTGCTGGGAGGGGTTGAGTCACCCTGGGGAGGGCAGCTTAGGGGAACCTTGGCTACATGCCTGCATCAGAAAACAGGTTTGAGTTCCCTGAGTGGTCCAGGACACATGGACCCAGCACAGACTCCTCACTGCCCAAGGGACTGGGGACCTGCCTGGATCCTCAGGATGTGCCCAGGGGGTCGTCTCCTGGAGAAGCGTGGGGAGCGGTGGGTGATGGATTAGTGTGGCTGGTGAGGGCTGGGTGAGGAGTGTCAGGGAGGGACAGGAAGAGAAGAGAAAGCCATGTTATGGGCATATGGGGACGGTGCTCACCTCACACCCACCCTTTGCTGAGTGGCTGTGCAGGACGGGGAAGGGCAAAGAGGATGCAGCCCCGGGTCCTCCCAAGGGGTCCAGGGGACAAGGGCAGCCTGCAGAGACACAGAGCAGTGACGTCATAGGCAATGCTCCAATCAGGGAAGCGGGAGGGTCAGCACTTACATCACTCAGCCCAGGAGCCCCGCCCCCTGCCAGCAGTAGTTCTGGGTTCGTGATGCTGCCATGGGCGCCAGGCTCCTCTGCGGTGTGACTCTCTGCCTCCTGGGAGCCGGTGAGTCCTGGACACATCGGGGAGCTTCTGAGATGTCTTTGCCTCCCTGAGATAGAAGCCCGGCGATGAGGGCTGCAGCGGGAGGCTTACCTTGTGCTCTGCCCTCAGCTTTCTTGTCTCCTCCCCAACAGGCCTGGTGGATTCTGGAGTCACCCAGACCCCCAAGTACCTGATCAAATCAAGAAAGCAGCAAGCGACTCTGAGATGTTCCCCTGACTCTGGACACCTCTCTGTGTACTGGTACCAGCAGGCCCTGGGCCAGGGCCCCCGGTTCCTCGTTCAGTATTACAACCAGAAAGTGTGGGGAGAAGCACAGCTGCCGGATCGATTCTCAGGAGAACAGTTCAGTGACGCTCGCTCTGAGCTGAGCTTGACCCCCGTGGAGCTGACGGACTCAGCCGTGTATCTCTGTGCCAGCAGCCAAGACACAGCCCTGCGTGATCAGATGCCTCTGGTACAAAAACACTCCTGCCCCAGCTCAGGAAGTGGTTGCCAGGGTGTCAGCTGCCAGCCAGCGAGAGCCAGACCCAGGTAGAGCTGATAGCCTTTCCCAGACATTCTTTCCTTTGTACATTTTAATGCTCACAAAGATCATGCGAGATAAAGATTATTTTAACTGTTTATACATCTGATGGAAAGTGACTTGCCCAGATCTCATATTTCCTAACTGTCAGACAAGGAACCAGACTCAAAGCTGTCCTCAACACCTGTGTTCTCTGCTCCCCATCTTTTAAAGGAGTTCGCTCCACGGAGCTGTAACAGCTGACAAGTCCAAATCTGCAGGTTGGATTGGTGATACTAGAGGTTCAGGGAGAGCTGATGTTTAAATTCAAAGGCCCAAGAACTGATGGTCCAGTTTGAAGGCTACCAGCTGAACAGTTCTCTCTTACCTGGGGGAGGATCAGTCTTTTCGTTCTATTCTTATCTTCACTGGTTGGATTAGGCCCACTAAGACTGTGGAATGGAAGGTCATTTGTTTAAAATGTTAATCTAGGGCCTCTGAGGCGGCGGCGGCGGATCCCGGGGCTCTCGCCTCGGGCGCCCCGGCCGTCCCTGCGGCCGCGAGGGGAGCTGCCGCCGCCTTGGGCCCGTGGGTGCCCCGTGGGAGGCTGAGAGGCTGAGAGGCAGCCGGCCGCGGGTTCGACGCCCGCCGGCCCAGGAGCTCATCCAGCCGTCGGTGAGCGAGCTGTCCCGGGCCGTGCGGACCAACATCCTGTGCACAGTGCGCGGCTGCGGCAAGATCCTGCCCAACAGCCCCGCGCTCAACATGCACCTGGTCAAGAGCCACCGCCTGCAGGTGAGCCCGCCGCGGGCCGCGCCTCCCGGGGCCTGGCGCCACCGAGCGTCTGACGCGGGCGGCGGGGGTGGGGGCCGCCGCGGCCCTCGGAACGGGCCGGACCGCCAACGGGGGTCCCGGCAGGGAGAGTGGAAGCCCGGACGCGGGAGGGCACGGCGAGGGGAAAGCCTTGTGTCACGCGCCAGGCTGTCTGGCTCCGACCCGCGGGACCACCGGCGCGCACGCGGCGGCGGCCCGGATGTTTCTCATGGTCGTGCCGGGAGCTCTCACGGCACCTCCGTCCTGTTGTTGCAGAGAAACCGGTGACGCTGCCCGCGTAGTGCTGGGCTTTAAACGCGGACTCGGCTCTATGCCGGCGCTCTTTGCACCACACCCACAAGCACCTCCTTCGGGCCTTTGGGTGCTGCCCAGTCGTCAGCAGGGAGCTGCAGATTTGGCAACAAGTTCTACCGCGTTGGTAATATCAGCTTTGCTCAGGAATGAGACCTAAGGGAAGTCTCGCCCGAGGATCTTAAGAGGGGACCTCATATATAATTACAGGACAATAATCCTGAACGTCCATTCCACCTTAAATAAAATGGAGAGGTGATTCTTTTTTCAACCCGAAGTGCACGTCTGTGGAGTGCTTATTAAAAACTCATAGGTCCAGCCCCACCCCATACCTCTTAAATCATAATTTCTCAATTATTACAATANCCCAGCCCAGAATCCTGCAATTGATTTTGATATCGAAGAGTTCTTTTCAGCCTCAAATATACAGACACAAACCGAGGAGAGTGAGCTTAGCACCATGACCACTGAGCCAGTCTTGGAGTCGCTGGACATAGAAACCCAAACTGACTTCTTCCTTGCAGACCCTTCTGCCCAGGCCTACAGTTGTAGGGGGAATTCTAGCTTCTTAGGCCTTGAGATGTTTGACACGCAGACACAGACAGACCTGAACTTCTTTTTAGATAGTAGCCCCCGTCTACCACTGGGAAGTATCCTGAAACACTCTAGCTTTTCCATGAGTACTGATTCATCTGACACAGAGACCCAGACTGACGGAATCTCCACTGCTAAAAACCTGCCTGCCCTGGAAAGCAAAGTTCAGTTGAACACTGCCGAAACACAGACCATGAATTCTGGCTTCAGAACTTTGGGGAGCTTATTCTTCACCAGCAATGAAACTCAGACAGCAATGGATGACTTTCTTCTGGCTGATCTGGCCTGGAACACGATGGAATCTCAGTTCAGCTCTGTTGAAACCCAGACATGTGCAGAACTACACCCAGTCTCCAACTTCTGAAAGCTGAGTCCACATGGGGGATGGATTCATAGTTCCCTTCTGGATTTAGAAGATGAAGAACAGGGACAACAATATTAACTCTACTGAATGTAGTCGACGATACAGCTACTTCGATTCTTTGAGGTTCTTTGCCTTTTTGTACTTGTAAACATGAAATTTGTGTAAAAATTTGTGAGTGTATTATAAAGTATAAGATGTTGATCTGAAAATAACATAAAATAAAATGTTAATCTAATCTAATGTTAAAATCTACCTATTTATATGTTAACCTCTTCCAAAACCACTCTCACTTAATACCCAGAATAAAGTTGAATTAAATGTCTCTGACACAGTTAAGGTGACACGTTCAATTAGTCATCACACCATCTTCCTGGGTTGCACAAGTATTTAATAAGCGTGAAGTCCCTGGCATGTAACAGGACTCTGGATTTCTTGATTCCCTTTGCTAACCTCTGACAGTCTCTTCTACCATTTCCTAGGTGCAAAGGTAGAAATGGACATGTTTTGCCTTGAAACCCTTTAACTGAGGATATCAGAAATCACAGGGAAAGGAAGATTATGCCTAATGATTCATTTCATGAAATTAAAAAGAGCATGTAACATATAACCCACCTCAGATATTTTACAATCAATTTTATTGATATTTGAACTGCATTTTCCCTTAAACAGTGTAGGTTTTAGGGTCCCTAGCCTCCTACAGCCTTATAGTCTGAGGGCTTCCCTGACAGCCCAGTTGGTAAAGAATCTGCCTGCAATGCAGGAGACCCTGGTTCGATTCCTGGGTCAGGAAGATCCGCTGGAGAAGGGATAGGCTACCCACTCCAGTTTCTTGGGCTTCCCTTGTGGCTCAGCTGGTGAAGAATCCGCCTGCAATGCGGGAAACCTGGGTTGGGAAGATCCCCTGTAGAAGGGAAAGGCTACCCACTCCAGTATTCTGGCCTGGAGAATTCCATGGACTGTATACTCCATGGAATTTCAAAGAGTCGGACATGACTGAGCAACTTTCACTTGCACATTCAATGGTGTATCTGGGATTCCACATCCATGGATTCAACCAATCACAGCTGTTCAGTACCTTAGTACGTATTTATTAAAATATCCACCCACAAGCGGACCCACTCAGTTAGAACTTGTGTTGTTCAAGGATCAGGTGTATATTCACACTGTATAATGAAGAGAGCTATGGTTTGTTCAATATATATGTATATGCTGATGAAACATCTGTCCCATTAAGACAGAGAACTTTTCTCACCAGAAATTCCCGCAGGCTCCTTCCCAGGACTCTCTCCTTCCCTAACAACCAACAATATGATTTCTGTTGGTATAGATTTGTTTTGCTCATGCATCTTTTTAGTGAAAATTTAATATATCTACCCATCAAAACAATTCCTTTTTAGCCTGGAGCTAAACATGGAAGACAAGTAAGTGCTCCTGGAAAGTGTTATAATTAACAAAGTGCTTGAAACCATGTGAGACACTATTTCCGTGTGAGGGACAATCCTAACCTGGGATTGATGGTTTGATAAAATGACCATCTAAGTTCTCACCATCTGGTACAGGCTGTTTTTGCAAAATTTATTTACTCAATTTCATAGATTTTTTTTCTCATGAACCCTTTTTCTGAAATCATTATAAAATGATTTTTTGTTAATATTCTATGGGAAACAACATAGCAAGGCTTCAGATTCACACACTGGGTCCTGGGCCGGCCAGACCACCAGCAGTAGTTGTTTCAGTGAATGATAATTCCATGCCGGGAGAAGGGTTCCTATGACTTGATCCCAAGGATTCAGGCCACAGGCCTTGAGCTGGAAAGACCACTTTCTTCTGGCCTGGCCTGGGTATGACCCCCTTTTACTATGTCCTTCTGTGTCCTGGACCAGCGAAGTTCTGAGCACATGTATGGCACCACTCGTGGGTGTGCCAGGCCCAGATTCAAGGCTGGTCATTGTGGTTATGACATGAGATTCCTCCTTTGTTTCTCACTTCAGCATCAGTGTCTTTCTGTCCCAGGACCCAGGAGTGGTGAGTCACCCAGACACTAGATGTGTGGTCATGCTAAAGGGAAACCGACCATCAGGAGGTCACGGAACATCTAAAATCATGTAACCAGGATCTGGTACATAATTTTCAGGGTCCATGTTTCAAAGACTATTGAGAATTTGAAGATCCCAACATCAGAACATTGTTCTAGGTACAGGGTCCTTTGAAGTGTGGGGTTTGTGCAACAAGATATAGTTTAGGGCTCTAGGATATCAATTTATTAATGGCAGCCATGCTTCACAAGGAAGTATTCCCATGGAGTGGATGTCTCACATAAAGTCAGAGCACTTTTGATGTATTCTGGAGTCCGGCACCTCGCCCCAAATCCCTCTCATATGTATGTTCCTTTGTGCGAACGTGTAATCCACGTTGAGCAACGAGCTTCTGGCCACAAAGAAAGTTCTGTCTTAGGGCGGCGGTGGTTTCACTTGCTGCTTCCCCTCCCTGTGCCCTCAGACTCAGGAAGCACATGCTTTGGCGAATATGAAGGAGCTGTGCCTGCATTTGGCAGGTGTCCTGGCTGTTAATGAACTGAGAAGAAATAGAGTCAAATGATTCCTCAAATAGTGATGAGTCTGCGCTGTAGTTAAGGAACCAGACACCAAAGAATCATTGTAGGTGAGAGGACAGGAGCAGGACTGTGGTCAATTGAGCAAAGTAGAAACAACACTTCAGGGAGTATTTGGGATGCATGGGTCATAAAGGACAGCAGGAAGCCCTAAGGATTTCCTCTGAGATTCAAAACTACAGAAATATGTACGTAAATAAGCTAATATGCAAATTAAGGAATTATCTCTGGAGTAAAATATACATAAAGGTGCAAACTACTCTAAGGAAAGCTTGCAACGACTTTGTAAGACTTATATCTGTCCAGATGATGTCCAAGCAATCTGTCCAAGGCATCTCCCTGTTCTAAGCTACTGATTTAGAATCAACTTTGATTTGAGCCTCTGGGGGAAGGGGCGTGGCCCCCTGAGTGACAGGTGGGCTCTGGGGCCTGGCAGGGACAGTGACATCTCAGAAGGACTCCCTAGAGAGCCCCTCTCCCCTCTCATCCACACTCAGACCACAGGGCCCTCCGCTGGCCCCGCCCCCGCCATGAGCCCCTGCCTCCTGGGCTGCGTGGTCTTCTGTCTCCTGCAGGCAGGTGAGTCCTGGGGGGCAGGGTCCCCTTGGGGGTGACAGCACGAAGCATGTCCTCTGTGACTGCAGCATCTGTCCTCCTTCTCCACCACAGGGGCGGTCCACGCTGGTGTCACCCAGGGCCCCAGATTCCAGGTTGTGAGGACAGGATCGAGCGTGACACTTAATTGTATTCAGAATCTAGGTCATAATAATATGTACTGGTACCGACAAGACCTGGGACATGGGCTGAGGCTGATCCATTACTCAGCTGGCGCGCCCACTAGCGAGCCAAGAGATGTGCCCAACGGGCTCAGTGTCTCCAGATCAAACACAGAGAACTTCCCTCTCACGCTGGAGTCCCGCTAATCACTCCCAGGCATCTGTGTACCTCTGCGCCAGCAGTTATTCCACAGCGCTGCGCGGCCACCTCCTCTCTGTGCAAAAAGGCAGGCAGCCCACGTGCAGGCTTCCAGCATCAGAAGCCTCAGAGTTTGTAAACCACGTGCCTGCAGCGTGACCCTGGGTGTGTGGACTAGGTTGGCCTGTGCCTCACTCCTGGGCCTTGGGGCCATGTGTCCACCGTCGGGCTCTGTCCTTCCTCTACATCCTCCCTGTGAACCTGGAAGATGGTTCCTCACATCCTCCCTGTGAACCAGCTCAGACTCCTAGTCATCACCTGAGCCTGAGATCGAGGAGGGAAGGTTTTTGTTAAATTAGATACAACTAGACACTCTTGTCTCACTCAGGCAGAACCTGTCTGTCTTTCTGGAGGTTCTCCCCCAGCCTGGCTCTCACCTGGTCTCAGCTCTGGTCCACCTTTCCCAGGCAGGCAGGACTTCCTCTCCCCACCTCCCTGCATCAGCTCCCTGGCCCTCTCTACCACAGCCACACTGCTCCTCCCTCATCTGGGTGAGGTCCCTTCCCATGCCACAGGGAGTCTTTTAAAGTGGCCTCTCTATGTGGTCTATTTTGAGCAAGATGTATGGAGTTATCAAAGAGAAACAAACTTTAGTTAATTATAAATCATCCAAAAACTCAGCTGAGCCCACCTGAAGGAGGACAGACTGTTTTTGTGTGTTCTCGATACCGCTGCCCCCAACATCCTTAGCATCTCACCTAACCTCCCTCATTAAAATCCTCTCATAGTCAAAATCCATCCTGCATTACCCCATTATATCATGCTTTATAAGTGCAGAAATAATTGAGTCCACATTTATAAAACTTTTTATAAAAAAAAAAGTATTATCTAGAATTTGATAATGCTTAAGTTAAATAGGAAATCTGAAAATATATGCCTGTGACTATTCAGAAGTAGTTATAAATATATGTTTGCAGGCAGATTCACTTGAAATCCTCTGAGCATTTATTTTATGATCATATCTTTCCATCTTTAGCTAACTACCATCATTGTAGTGGTGCAGCAATTATTTCCTTCTTAGTAGAATGGTCAGATCATACAGTTTTCTGCCTCCAGAGGCTAAGAGTGCATTTGAAGATCAATCCTAATTGGCCAGGCTAGGAAGGCAGTAGAATAGATGTGTGTGTGTGTGTGTATTCCGGGTGTGGGGTTTTTGAAACCTTGATTCAAAGAGAGGCTGCGAATCCATAAGACCATGGACCTTTGGCCACGAGGAGGCACTGTGTTTCCATAGTAAGCAGGGTGCCCTGGGAGGGGCCGAGAGTCACCCTGGGGAAGGAAGCTTAAGGGAACCTTGGCTACATGCCTGCACATGGGAGCAGGTTTGAGTTCCCTGAGTGGTCCTGGGACACGTGGAGCCAGCACAGACTCCTCACGGCTCAGGAGGAGGGGTCATGCCTGGAGTTTCAGGATGTGCCCAGGGGGCCGTCTCCTGGAGCAGCACGGGAAGGGGAGGTAAGAGCTTGGGGTATTTGGTGAGGGCTGGGTCATGAGTGTCAGGCAGGGTCAGACAGAGCAGAACAAGAGTGTGTGGACACATGGGACCAGGGGATGAAGCTCACCTCACACCCATCCTTTTTGAGGGGTTGTCAGGACAGGGAATGGCAGAGAGGAGCCAGCCCTGGGTCCTGCCAAGGGGTCCAGTGGATCAGGAAACAGCCTGCAGAGACACAGAGCAGTGACGTCATAGGCAATGCTCTAATCAGGGACACAGGAAGTTCAGCACTTACCCCACTCACCCCAGGAGCCCCGCCCCCAGCCAGCAGCAGTCCTGAATTCCTGATACTGCCATGGGCTCCAGGCTCCTCTGCTCTGTGACTTTCTGCCTCCTGGGAGCAGGTGAGTCCTGGACACAGTGTGGAAGCATGTGAGATGTCTTTGCCTCCCTGAGATAGAAGCCTGGTGATGAGGGCTGCAGCAGGAGGCTTCCTCTGTCCTCTGCCCTCAGCTTCCTTGTCTCCTCCCCAACAGGCCTGGTGGATTCTGGAGTCACCCAGACCCCCAAATACCTGATCAAATCAAGAAAGCAGCAAGCAACTCTGAGATGTTCCCCTGAATCTGGACACCTCTATGTATCCTGGTACCAACAGGCCCTGGGCCAGGGTCCCCAGTTCCTCATTCAGTATTACAATAGGGGAGTGAATGAGAAAGGAAACATGTCAGATCGATTCTCAGGTGAACAGTTCAGTGATTCTCACTCTCAGATGAACCTGAGCCTCTTGGAGCTGACGGACTCAGCCGTGTATCTCTGTGCCAGCAGCAAAGACACAGCCCTGCATGATCAGGTGCCTCTGGTACAAAAACACCCTGCCCCTGCTCAGGAAGTGGTTGTAGGGCGTGAACTGCCAGCCAGCGGGACCCAGGCGCTGGTACAGTGGACAGCCTTTCCTAGACATTCTTTACTGGCATGTCTCAATGTTCACAAAGATTTTGCAAGGTACGTTTTATTTTATCTGCTCATTTATCTTAGGGAAAGTGACCTGCCCAGATCTCATATTTCTTAACTGTTAGAGCAAGGAATCCTACTTGAATCTGACCTTATCACTTGTGGTCCTCACCATGCCCCCAACTGACCCCTGCCAGGAATGATGCGTCACTCAGATCTGTGATGTGTGGTCATGCTGTGGGAAAACCAGCACATCAGGAGGTCACTGCAGGTCCACAGTCCTGTAACCAGGAATAGCTACGTAATTTTTAGGGTCCCTGCTTTCAAATACCATTGAGAATCTGCAGAGAGCAGAGCTCTGCAGCATGTGTGGGTTCCTGCTGTGTGGAATGATGCACAACAAGATAAGACTTTGAGGAGCTCTATGATATTTGTTACACATTAATGCAATCCCCGCTTCCCAAGGAAGCATTCCCACGGAATGCACATCTCACGTAAAATCAGAGCCCTTTTTATTCAACCTGGAGTCGGCCACCTCTCCCTGCATCCCTCCCACATATAAGTTCCTTTGTGCCAACATGTCATCCGCTTGTGTGTGTGGTAGGGCTCTGTCACTTCAGTCGTGTTTGACTCTTTGTGACCCCACGGACTGTAGCCAGTCAAGTTCCTCTGTCCATGGGATTCTCCAGGCAAGACTAGTGGAGTGGGTAGCCATGTCCTCCTTCAAGAGATCTTCCCAACCCAGGGATCAAAACTGCATGTCTTATGTCTCCTGCACTGGCAGGCAGTTTCCTTCCCACTCTCACAATCTGAGAGAAGCCCACTTCATCTGTGGTGCTGGGCAACTGACTTCTCTCCAAAAAGAAAGTCAAGTCCCAAGCTTGAGGTGGTTTTGCTTGTTGTTTCCCCTCTCACTTCAGAAACTGCAAGCACTGCATCCAGTGAACAGGGTGGGAATGTAGATGCATCTGGCAGGTGACCTGTCTATTGGTGAATTGATAAGAAATAGAGCCAAAGGATTCCTCAAGTGGGGATAAGTCTGACCTACGGTTGGGGAACCAGATGCCGAAAGAATCATTGCAGGTAGAAGGACACCAACAGGACTGTGGTTAATTAATGAAAGCAGAAACAGACACTTTCCCAGGTGGCGCTAGTGGTAATGATGCTGCCTGCCAATGTGGAGATGTTGATAGCATCTCTGACTCAACAGACATGAATTTGGGCAACCTCTGGGAGATAGTGAAGACCAGGGGAGCTTGGTGCGCTGCGATGCATGGGGTCTCAAAGAGATGGACTCCAGTTAGCAATTGAACTGCACCACCACCAACAAAAGTTAACCCAAGTTTGTAGCATCTCCTTCATCACAATCTTCTAAAAGTCAAAGTATTAAATATTCCCTGCATGAGCACATTTCTTTTCTTGTGAAATACAAAATTATAGATCAGCTATGGCAGGCTGCTGTGTGTCCTTGTGTTTCTAATTGTGTGTGTGTCCTTTTGAAAAACAAAAGAAAAACACAGTGCGAATGGCAAACAGTGAAATATTTTCTAATAGGAACACATCCCATGACTGTTAAATTTGGGCAGACAATTTTGGTTTCCATGCATAGACCACATGGGGACGCTGTAGAACTGCCAAACTCCAGAAATTTCTGGGGCAGAGCAAGGGGACAGTGCTAGTGCCTGGGACTAGAAAGGTTAAGAGAAAGCTTCATTTGGTGTTTTTATCTCTAGAAGCGTGTTCTTCAGCGATCAGCTTTCTTTATAGTCCAACTCTCACATATACACGTGACTACTGGAAAAATCATAGTGTTGACTAGATGGACCTTTGTTGGCAAATAAATTGGCTCTGCTTTTTAATACACTGTCTAGGTCGGTCATATATGAACTGTTCTTTCAGGATCACTTCTGATTTGAGCCTCTGGGGGAAGGGGCGTGGCCTCTGAGTGACAGGTCGGCTCTGGGGCCTGGCAGGGACAGTGACATCTCAGAAGGACTCCCTGGAGAGCCTCTCCCCTCTCATCCACACTCAGGTCAGAGGGCCCTCCGTCTGCCCCGTCCCCGCCGTGAGTCTCTGCCTCCTGGGCTGTGTGGTCTTCTGTCTCCTGCAGGCAGGTGAGTCCTGGGGGCAGGGTCCCCTTGGGGGTGTCAGCACTGAGCATGTCCACTGTGACTGCAGCATCGGTCCTCCTTCTCCACAGGGGCGGTCCACGCGGGTGTCACCCAGGACCCCAGATTCCAGGTCGTGAGGACAGGACAGAGCGTGACACCTTCATGTACTCAGGATCTGAGCCATGATTATATGTACTGGTACTGACAAGACCAGGGACACGGGCTGAGGCTGATCCATTACTCAGTAATCCCTCCTGCCACAGAGAAAGGAGATGTGACCGACGGGTACAGTGTCTCCAGACCAAATACACAGAGAACTTCCTTCTCACACTGGAGTCTGCCAACCGCTCCCAGACATCTGTGTACTTCTGCACCTGTGGTTACTCCACGGCGCTGCACGGCCACCTCCTCTCTGTGCAAAAAGATAAGGGAAGCCCTGCGGCCTGGAAGGAGGAGAGCCCCTTGCAGGCTTCTCACACGCGGAAACTCGGAGCCCAGGGCCACATGTCTGCAGCGTGAGACTGAGTGTGCAGACTCTTATTACACCTAGCTACATCTACATTAAATATAGTGCACAGTTGGTTTTTAATTTCAAAGTCTTATAATTTTAATAATCAATGGGTTAATATATAATTTCTGTATATAAATACATTACCTAGAATTAGTGATATTTAATTTATATAGAAAATCAAGAAATATGTGGATCTGATTAATCAGAGGGATCTATGGAAAGCACTGTCCCAGGCTGTATTCCCCTGAGCTTATCAGAGTGTCTGTATTGAAGGTCTGTGTGATTCCACCTGAGCATGCTACTGTCGGTGAAATTATTTTCTTCTTAATGGAAATCCTGGTTTCTACAGTCTTTTACCTCCAGAAGCTAAGAGGGAATTTGAAGACCAACCTGAAGTCAGCCAGGGTGGGAAGACAGTAGAACGTGTGTGTGTGTGTGTGTGTGTGTGTGTGTGCGTGCTTAGGGTGTGGGGTGTTTATATTCTTGCTTTAGACAGAAGGCAGAGATCCATGAGACTCTGGACCTTTGGCCACTAGGAAGCGCTGTGGGCCCACGGTAAGCAGGGGAACTTGGGAGGGGTGGAGATTCACCCTGGGGAGGGTAGCTTTAAGGAACCTTGGCTACATGCCTGCCTGAGAAAGCATATTTGAGATCCCTGAGATTCTGAGGTCCCAGGACATGTGGAACCAGTACAGACTCCTCATTGCCAGGGAAAGTGGGAATGTGCCTGGATCCTCAGGATGTGCCCAGGAGATGGTCTCCTGGAGCTGCAAGGGAAGTGGAGGTGAGGGGGTTGGGGTGGCTGGTGAGGGCTGGGTGATTGTCAGCTGATTGCCTGGTGATTCCCAGGCAGGTGAGTGCCTGGCTGAGTGTCAGGCAGGGGCAGGCAGAGGACAACGAGCTATGTTGTGGGCATATGGGAATGGGGCACCCTTCACACCCACCCCTTGCTCAGGGTCTGTGAAGGGCAGGGTTGATATAAAGGGCTCACCTTTAGTCCTGGCACGGAGTACAGTAGACAGGTCAGCCTGTGGACACAGAGCTGTGATGTCATAGGCAAATGCTCCAATCAGGGAAGCAGGAGGGTCAGCACTTTACACCACTCACTCCAGAAGTCCCACCCCCAGCTAGCAGTGGTTTTGGGCTTCTGATGCTGCCATGGGTTCCAGGCCATCCTCTGCTGTGTGACTCTCTGTCTCCTGGGAGCAGGTGAGGCCTGGACACAGCGTGGGAGGCTCCTTCTTGCTTCTGAGTTGAGATTCTGCATCTTTGACTCAGGTCTTGGGAAAGGTTAGTCACCCAAACCCAAGACATGTGGTCACAGTCGGTGGAGACCAGCACACAGGAGGGCACCACAGTCATGCGCTCAAGACTATCTCCATGGTTTGCAGGGTCCACAGTTTGAATATTATTGAGAATTTTTTGTGTAAGGAAATGAACAGCACTGTGGTCAATTAGACAAAGTAGATACAAACATCTGAGGGAGTCTGTGATTGCTGAGTCATAAAGGGCAGCATGAAGCCAGAAGGTTTTCTTCTTGAGTTTCAAAACTACAGAAGTACGTTGCTGTAATTCAGTTGTAAAGTCCTGTGCAACTCTTCGCGACCCCACGGACTTCAGCGTGACAAGCTTTGCAGCCCTTCACAATCTCCCTTAGCTTGCTCAAACTCATGTCTATCGAGTCAGTGACGCCATCCAACAATCTCATCCCCTGTCATTCCCTTCTCTTGCCTTCAATCTTTCCCAGCATAAGAATCTTTTCCAATAGCTCAGTTCTTTGCTTCAGGTGGCCAAAATATTGGAGCTTCAACTTCAGTCCTTCCAATGAATATTCAGGATTGATATCCTTTAGGATGCACTGGTTGGATATCCTTGCAGTCCAAGGGTCATTCAAGAGTCTTCTCCAGCACCACAGTTTGAAACCATCAATTCATAAGCACTCAGCCTTCTTTACTTTCCAAAACTCACATTCATACATGACGCCCAGAAAGATCATGATTTTTACTAGACAGACCTTTGTTCGCAAAGTAATGTCTCTGCTTTATAATATGCTGTCTAGGTTGGTCATAGGTTTTCTCCCAAGAAGCAAGCATCTTTTAATTTCATGGTTGCAGTCACGATCTTCAGTATGTTGGAGCCCAAGAAAATAAAGTCTGTCACTATTTCCGTTGTTTCTCCATCTATTTGCCAAGAAGTGATGGGCCTGGATTCCATGATCTTAGTTTCTTAAACATTGAGTTTTAAGCTAGCCCTTTCACTCTCCTCTGTAATCTTCATCAAAAGGCTCTTTAATTTCTCTTTGCTTTCTGCATAGGGTGGAATCATCTGCATATGTGAGGTTATTGACATTTCTTCCAGCATCTTCATTCCAGTTTGAGCTTCATGCAGCCCTAACATGGAGGGGCTGTACCTGCGTTTGACCGGTGGACCGTCTGTCAGTGAACTGATTAGAAACAGACCAAACATTTCCTCAAATGTTGATGAGCCTGTGATGAGGTTGGGAGCAGAAACCTGGAAAAACATGTTAGGTGGAGGGACATTCTCAGGACTGCGGTCAATGTTGCAGAAATGGAGCCTTGAAGTGCTATTGGGCCACATATCATAAAGGGCAGGAGCATGCCAGAGGATTCCCGAGGATTCAAAACTCCGGAAATATGTAGATAAATAAAAGTAATATACATGTTAATGAAGACTTATCTGTGAACTAGAATTTAAAAAATATTTAATCAGTTTAACATTTACAGAAAAAATCTTTAACATTTACAGAAATGCTACAGCAATTTGTGAGCTTATGTCCATTGATCTGGATGGGTCTCCGTGTTGTGAACAGTTCTCTCAGGTTCACTTCTGATTTGAGCCTCTGGGGGAAGGGGCGTGGCCCCCTGAGTGACAGGTCGGCTCTGGGGCCTGGCAGGGACAGTGACATCTCAGAAGGACTCCCTGCAGAGCCCCTCTCCCCTCTCATCCACACTCAGACCACAGGACACTCTGCCTGCCCCACCCCTGCCATGAGCCCCTGCCTCCTGGGCTGTGTGGTCTTCTGTCTCCTGCAGGCAGGTGAGTCCTGGGGGCAGGGTCCCCTTTGGGGTGCCAGCACTAAACATGTCCGCTGTGACTGCAGCATCGGTCCTCCTTCTCCACAGGGGCGGTCCACGCGGGTGTCACCCAGGACCCCAGATTCCAGGTTATGAGGACAGGACAGAGCGCGACACTGAAATGTACTCAGGATCTAAACCATGATTATATGTACTGGTACCGACAAGACCCGGGACACGGGCTGAGGCTGATCCATTACTCAGATGGCCCACCCGGCACGGAGAAAGGAGACGTGCCTGACGGATACAGTGTCTCCAGACCAAGAACAGAGAACTTCCCTCTCACACTGAAGTCTGCCAACCGCTCCCAGACAGCTGTGTACTTCTGCGCCAGCAGTTACTACACGGCGCTGCACGGCCACCTCCTCTCTGTGCAAAAAGGCAGATGAGCGCCCTGCAGCCTGGAACTTGGGGAGCCCCTTGCAGGCTCCTAGCACCTGGAGTCTCAGAGCCCACAGACACACTGGCAGTATAGCCAGTAGTTTTAGATTTTAGCTGGCACAGACCTGACAACAGGGCTTCATGGTCATGGGTCCGCTTTCACTTTCTGTCTTTTCACCATAGCTGCCACGTGAACCTAAAGATGCTAGCCAGCTCTGACTCCTAGTATCAGTCTGAAAATGAGGCCTCCAGGAAGGAAGGGTGTTGGGAAATCAGGTACATCTAGATCCACTTATCTCTCCCCAGCACCTTACTGCTGTCTCTCTGGAGGTTTCTCCCCCAGCCTAGCTCTCAAGTGCTCGCTGCTCTTGCCCACCGGAGGGGCGGGTCTTTCCTCCTTTACTGCCTTGGCCTCAGCTCCCCTGCCCTCTCTGCTCCTGGAACACTGCCCTCCCCTCATCTGGGTCAAGGCCCTTTCCATGACACAGGGAACTTTGTAACCATGCCTAAGTGGTTGTGTTTGAGAAAGCTCTTCTTATTATCAAAGAGAAAACAACCTCACTTAATTAAAACCATCGAAAATCCCTCGGGAGTCCATTCGCAGGAGGAGAGACAGGCTGCTTGTGTGTGTTCTCCCTCCCTGCCCCTCTTTCTTAACATCTCAATTAACCTGGACCAGGTTTCCACCATTTCCCTCACAGAAAACTTCTAAAAAGTCAAAATATTTCCTCCATGGTATCTTATTATATCAAGATTTTACAAGTTCTTAGGAAACAAATAGGTTAGTACACGTAAAGCCTCTTAATAAAATGCACTGGCTAGATTTTGGTAATGGGTAATTTAAATATGAAATCTGGAAACATATGGATCTGATTAATCAGAAGGAGGTCTGGAATGCAGGTGTTCAGGCTGGCTTCATTTGGGATCATGAGAGTGCTTATTTCTTTTGCCTGTATTACTCCATTTTAGCTAACTACTCTCATTATAGCGGAGCAAGAATTGTTTCCTTCTTAGTCGAAATGTCTGATCATACAGTGTTTTACCTCGACAGGCTAAGACTAGACTTGATCAACCCTAGTTCAGCCAGGCTGGGATGGCAGCAGATGATGGGTGTGTGTGTGTGTGTGTGTGTGTGTGTGTGTAGGGTTGAAAGTGTGGAGTGTGGGGAATTTGTATTCTTGTTTTAGATGAAAGGCACGGATCCATGAAACCATTGGCCACTAGGAGGCCCTGTGGGTCCATGGTAAGCTGGGTGCCCTGGGAGGGGTTGAGAGTCACCCTGGGGAGGGCAGCTAGGGGAACCTTGGCTACATGCCTGCATCAGAAAGTAGGTTTGAGTTCCCTGAGTGGTCCGGACATATGGACCCAGCCCAGACAGCTCACTGCCCAGGTGAGTGGGGAGAAGCCTTTGACCTCACAATGTGCCCAGGGGGTCGTCTCCTGGAGCAGCGTGGGGAGCGGTGGGTGATGGATTTGTGTGGCTGGTGAGGGCTGGGTGAGGAGTGTCAGGCAGGGACAGAAAGAGAAGAGAAAGCCATGTTATGGGCATATGCGGACAGTGCTCACCTCACACCCACACTTTGCAGAGGGGCTGTGCAGGACGGGGAAGGGCATAGAGGAGCCCAGCATGGGACCTGGCCAGGGGTCCAGTGAATCAGGAAACAGCCTGCAAGGACAGAGCAGTGACGTCATATGCAATGGTCCAATCAAGGAAGCGGGAGGGTCAGCACTTACATCACTTACCCCAGGAGCCCCGTCCCCTGCCAGCAGCAGTCTTGGGTTCCTGATGCTGCCATGGGCGCCAGGCTCCTCTGCTGTGTGACTCTCTGCCTCCTGGGAGCAGGTGAGTCCTGGACACATCGGGGAGCTTCTGAGATGCCTTTGCCTCCCTCAGAAAGAATTGTGGCGATGAGGGCTGCAGCAGGAGGCTTCCCTGTGCTCTGCCCTCAGCTTCCTTGTCTCCTCCCCAGCAGGCCTTGTTGAATCTGGAGTCACCCAGATCCCCTAGTACCTGATTAAATCAAGAAAGCTGCAAGCGACTCTGATGTGTTCCCCTGAATCTGGACACTGTTCTATGTACTGGTACCAACAGGCCCTGGGCCAGGGTCCCCAGTTTCTTGTTCAGTATTTTGATGGGAAAGTGTATCCCTTGGAGCTCTCTGTATCTCTGTGCCAGCATCCAAGACACAGCCCTGCGTGATCAGGTGCCTCTGGGACAAACACCCCTGCCCCAGCTCAGGAAGTGGTGGGCAGGGTCTCGGTTGCCAGCCTGCCAAGCCCAGTCTCTGGTAGAGCGACAGACTTTCCTAGACATTTAATTCTTGGTATGTTTAAATTCTCACTAAGGTCATTAAGATAAGTATCATTTTAACTGTTTGTAATTCTGAGGGGTCGTGAGTTGCCCAGATCTCATACTTCATAAATGTTATAGCTTGTATTCTCGCTCAAGTCTGTTTTCTAAACCTGTGGTCCCTTCACTCACGGATATTCCTGTGTACAAGCAAATTACATATATGTGTTGTATTATGTGTAACAGGATACAATTGTGGGCTCTATGATATGAATTGCTACTCAGTGGATGTCAGTCACACTTCACAAGCAGGTGTTCCCATGGGAGGAATGTCTCAAATAAAAAGAGAGCCTTTTCCGTTTACCCTGGCCTCAGCACCTCCCTCCACGTCCCTCCTACATCTGTGTTCCTTTGGGCCAAAACGTCATCCTGTGCAGGCACCCCACTTCTCTCCATACAGAAAGCTGGGCCACAGGCCTGAGGGGGTTCTGCTGGCTCCCTTCCCCCCAACACGGGAAACACGTGTGAACATGGAGAGGCTGTACCTGCGTTTTACCGGTGGACCGTCTGTCAGTGAATTGATTAGAAATAGACCAAAGAATTCCTCAAATGTTGACAAGCCTGTGATGAGGTTGGCAGCAGAAACCTGGAGAAACGTGGTAGGTGGAGGGACATTCTCAGGACTGCGGTTAATGTTGCAGAAAGGAGCCGTGAAGTGCTATTGGGACACATATCATAAAGGGCAGGAGGACGCCAGAAGGATTCCTGAGGATTCAAAACTCCGGAAATATGTAGATAAATAGAAGTAATGTACATGTTAATGAAGACTTATCTGTGAACTAGAACTTAAAAAATATTTAATCAGTTTAACATTTACAGAAAAAATCTTTAACATTTACAGAAATGTTATGCCAGACTGCTCTGCCCCTCCTGCCATGGGCTGCAGCCCCGTCTGCTGTGTGGCTCTTTGTCTCCTGGCAGCAGGTGGGTCCTTGGCACAGGACAGAATCCGTGTTCCTAACCTGACTGCCTGAAACCGAGGCACCATCGGGTTCTCTCCTGGTTTCTTTCTCAGCCCCAGTCTTCTTCCCCCACAGGCCTTGTGGATGCTGGAGTTACCCAAACCCCAAGATACCTGATTAAAGCAAGAGGACAGCGAGTGACACTGCGATGCTCCCCTGTCTCTGGACACCACTCTTTGTACTGGTACCAACAGGCCCTGGGCCAGGGCACCCTGATTCCTCATTGAATATTTCAGACAGGAAGTGAGGGGAGAAGCACAGCTCCCAGATCGATTCTCAGCAAAACAGTTCAGTGACTCTCGCTCTGAGCTGAACTTGAGCTCCTTGGAGCTGACGGACTCAGCCGTGTATCTCTGTGCCAGCAGCCAAGACACAGCCCTGCATGATCAGGTGCCTGTGGAACAAAAACTCTCCTACCGCAGCTCAGGAGGTGTGGTGAGGATGACTGCCTGCCTTCCAGGCCTAGATAGATCCGATACCCTCTCCCAGACATTCTTCCTCTGCTGTGTTTTAATGCTCCCAAAGATCATCCTAGGTAAGTATTATTTCCCTGTTTATACATCTGAGTGGAACTGAGTTGCCCACGTCTCATATTTCATTCCTTTCACGGCAAGGTATTTGGTTCAAGTCTGTCCTCATCTCTTGTGATCTTTGCCCCCCAAAACTGTCCCCCACAAGAATAAATAATATACACATAGACCAAATACATAGACACATACATGTTTTAAAGCAATTGGCTCACACTGTTGTTAAGACTGGTAAGTCCAAAAGCTGCAGGCTGGTCTGGTGCTACTAGAGACTGAGGGGGAACTCATGTTTAAGTTCAAAAGCAGAAGAACTAGTGACCCAGTGTGAAGGCCATCAGCTGACAATTATCTCTTGCTTGGGGGAGGATCAGTGTTCTTTTGTCTATTCATCTCTTCTTCTGGTTTCATGAAGCCCACCTACCTTATGGAGGGTCATCTGCTTTACCAATTAAAATGCTAATCTAATCTATTATTAAAATTTACCTATTGACATATTACCTTTTCCAAAAATATCCCTTTTAGGAGCACCCAGAAAAATAAAGCTAAATATCCATGGCAGTCTAGTGGACATATTTTATTAGTCAGGACACCATCTTCCAGGGTTTCACAGGAATTTAGTAGCATGAAGCCCCTGGCAGGTAACAGGACTCTGGATTTCTTGACTCCCTTTTCTAATCTCTGACAGCCTCCTCTAGTGCTTCCTAGGTACTAAAGTAGATATGGACACATTGTGACTTCAAGCCCTATACTTGAGGTCTTCAGATGCCACAGGAAAGAAAGTAATTGTGCTTGCTGGTTCACTACATGAGATAAACAGAGCATGGAATGTACCCTCAGGCATTTTTGCATCAACTTTATTGGCATAAGAATTATAGTAAACTTTTACATAATGTGAAGTTTGGGGGCCTGGACCCAGCCCTAACCCTGCTCTAAAAGTTTGTTTAAATTCAGTCAACCCTCTCTATTTATGATTCCACAACTGCAGATTCAACCAGCCACAATTGTGTAGTACTGTCAAAAGTGAAAGCCACTCAGTTGTGTCTGACTCTTTGTGACCCCCGTACAGTCCATGAAATTCTCCAGGCCAGAATACTGGAGTGGGTAGCCATTTCCTCCTCCAGCAGATCTTCCCCACCCAGGGATCCAATCCAGGTCTCTCCCGTTGTGAG